CTCTTTCCCTTCCTTCTTGGTCATCGCCATTGAAAACCATAGCTTCTAACTCCGGTTCATCGAGGGATAAATTAGCGAGAGAAATTAGCGTAATAGGTTAAAACTTAAAAAAGGAAATTAGAAAATTTATTTATTACTACCCTATTTTAATTTTAAGAAGATAGAAAAAAATAAAAAAGGCAACTGTGTCCATAAATGTGTCTAGCCATTTAAGGTGTTTCTGAGCCGCGTTGGAGCCAAAGACAAAAATGCAAAAAATGTCTGACCTGTGTCAACCGCGTGTCAGTGCTTCCTAGGTCCAGATAAGTGAATATTCATTTTTTAATATCATTTATAACCAGTAAAATTATCAAATATTAAAATTAAACTAAGCCTGATATTCCATTCAGCTCTTCTAAAATTGTACTGGATCTTTTTCTCACAAAACCACACATTGCCAAAACAAGTTCAAGTCTCACACTCACACTAATCACCTCAGAAGTTAGATTCTGCATAATTCATAACCTAAATAATTGAAGAAAATCCTAACTCTAACTAATCAGAGAGGATCTTTGCCAAAAGAAGTTAGAGTCTCACTCTCACAATAATTACCTCAGTAGTTAGATAGCACAATCCTATCCTAAACAATTGAAGAAATCCCTAACTCTAACTTATTAGAGAGGATATTTTTGCTCACTAAACCACATATTGCCAAATCAAGTTCGAGTCTCACTCTCGTATCACACTAATCACCTCACAAGTCAGATTCCTCATTCCACAATCCTAACCTAACACAAAAACAATTGAAGAAATCCGCAACCCTAAACTAACCCTAACTAATTATTGCTATTATCATTACCTTTGTCAGCGAACTGCATGAAGGAATCAACCTTAGGCGGAGGAGTGGGACTCTTATACTGCACGCTCTTGCTCCTCTCTCTGAGGATCTCATCAATCTCCTTGTAATACGACATCTTCGCAGAGCCGCTTCCGGCGCGGTCCTGGTGCTTGGCCTTCTTGAACTCCTTCAAGAGGTTGCGCCACTTATCGGTGCACATGGTAGGGGAACGATCGAAGCCCTTTTCCCTCATTTTGGCCGAAATCTGCTCCCAGAGGTGCTTGTTGGACTTGGAGGTGTTGAAGAGCGCGTCCATCTCGCGGCGGAGGCCGATGAGGGAGCGCGTCTCGTCCTGAACCCAGGTCTCGGCGCGCTTCTTGGGCGCCTTGATCTCGACCTCGGGGTCCTCGCCGCTGCTCTCGCCGAGGATCATGGGGGGCGGCGCGGGGTGGAGCGGCGGCGGCGGAGGGAGGTCGCCGTTGGAGACGACCTCGATCATCATGTCGCGCGCCCCCTCCTCCTTGTAGAAGTCGATGGGACGCGGCTTCTCCGATAAGTACATGGTGTTGGGGTGAGGGATTGGGTTGCGGGAGATGGTAATTGTGGGAGTGGAATTATGAAGTGGTGGGTTTTGGAGGAGTGGAGAAGGCACATGGGAAGGGAAGGTTAGGGGTTTGGGTTTGGGTGTAGACTGTAGAGAGAGTATGTCAGCGTGAAGTAGAAGCTTTTGGATGCGGTGGAAAGAGGGGTGATGAGGTAGAGGGGAACGTGTCTGTCTCCTCCTCAGATTTTTTTTCCCCCCTCGATTAATCATATGTTTAATTAATATTTAAATTTTATATGATCTTATATGTACAAAAAGATAAATTAGTTTAGTGAAGATCATCTTCATGAACCAAAAGAAAATATATGCTTTTTTTTATTTATATCACATATATTCTCTACTAAAAATAATTATCTTTGAAATAGGTAGATCATTATGAGTGACAATTTTTCATTATCACTCTATATCACTGGTTAAACTCGGACAATGACTACCAATTGATCTGTGTACTCATTAGTACAAGTACCCTTAACATTAAAAAAAAAATGAAATTTATATGCAATATTATAGTTTCAATATCTCATAATGACGATAGTTTAGCATATAAAAAATGGATATATTTGTATTAAACTTAAAAATAAGTGTTTTAAGTAGTTACTTTTTTAGAAAAATATTTAAAAATATATAAGATTTTTTTAAGAAAATATAAATTTTTATTTTAAAAAAAGACAAATACATTAAAAAAAAATTTAAAAAAGTGCTTATTTTATTTTAAAAAATACTTTACAAGAAGAAAAAAAATTAAATAAACAGACTCAATGTCTAAAAATAAATGATATTTTTACTTTTTAATATAATATTAATTATTTTTTTCTTAATTTGCTCCTTATAAATGATTCGATCACCATAATTCAAAATAATGTATTTATTGAAAAAACGAACTACTTTAATAAGCCAAATTAAAAAGTGATACATTCATCTTAATGTATAAACCTTAAACTCCAACCATTATAAAAGTTTGAAATAGAAAAAGAATATTATATACAATGTTAATAATAATCTCCGATTAAAATTAAAGTTTCACTTTAATAATATATTTAATAAATATTTTTTAACTAATTAAAAGTTTTTTTTATAAGTTTTTATCATGCTTAATTATGTTTTTAGTTTTTCAAAATCTAGGGTGTACATTTTTTTTTGTTCTTTAAATTTAAAATGTATTTTCTTAATCACTTAAATATAAAAAATTATTATTTGTATCCCTAAAATTAAAGTTTATCATTTTAATCCCTGTTTGAAAAAAAATGGTACTCTTTTAATATTGTCCTAAGTTATTTTACACACACCATAAAAAACCATTAAATATATAAAAGAAAATAGTGATTTTACAAGATTAATATTGTAAAACACAAAAAAAAATATTTACATATATTTTATTAGTATTTTTTTACTAAAAACGGTACAACACAAGACCTACTTTTTTATATATCAATATTAAGAATATAAATGAAAAAAAAAATGTAATTAATATTATATTAAAAAATAACATGACATTTATTATGCAATGGAGAAAATATTGTTTAAATTCTTTAGAATAATTAAATAAACAAACTAAATTTTATTTTTTATACTTTAAGATTAAAAATACAAATTTTATTTGAGAGAAAAAGAATGTAGAAGAATTAAAATAATATTTAAAAATATATATATATAAGAACTAAGATCATATATTTTAAATTTGAGGAAAAAATATATGTTGATAAACACTTATATAATTTTAAAATATTTTGATGCATTGTTATATAAGTATTTATAAACATATCTTATTTTAAAAATAAAAAAATACATAATTAATTAATAATATATCTCATAAAAATATTAAAAAAAAAACTACACTGTTTACTTAATTTTAGTTTTTAAAAATAAAGGTTTAAGTAATGTGAGACACACAAATTCACTACTTATCGATAATTTTAAAAACAAAAATATTTAATGATCAAAATATGATTGAAATACAAATTAAAATATTGAAATTAAAATCATAAATGTTTTAAAATTTAGTTATAAGAATATAATTGTTTTTTTTAAGATAAATACATGTGGGATGAAAAATTACAATTTTATTTTCTTAACATCATATGATTTTAATTTGTTTTTTTTTTTTTACTTTAAACAGTTATTTAGAGAAATATTATAAAAAAACATTTAAAAAATTTGCCGCCTGTTCTATAATATTTTATTATTGTATTTTTATTAAGATTTTATTTCATTTAAATATAAACTTTTTTTAGGTAGGATTAACTATTAAATATTCTCTAAATTTTTATTATTTTTTTATTAATCTTAACTTAATTATGTTTTTATTTTCAGTAATTAAAACACCAATAAATAAATTTTATGCCATTATTTGACATATTACCTAACAAAATTTAAATATAAAAATTAAAATATTTTTTAATTATAAAAATTAAAAAGATTAATTTTTAATTTTAAAAATTAAAAAAAATTATCTTAAATTTTATAGACTAAAAATATATGTAAATCATTAATATTTAATCTATTCACTATACACTTTGGTTAATTTTATTCTTATTTGTAAAAAACGAAAAGAGGCACCAATCGAAAGGTAAATAATAATAAATAAATAAAAATGTACGTATTGTTAGTATAAAAACTTTATATTGTCAATTAGTCAAGACTACAATGAACATGAGTTTTTAAATAATATTATAAAATTTAATATATATATATATATATATATATATATATATTCTTAAACTACTAGTGGACAAAAAAATAATGAAAAGTTTAAAGAAGGACAAATAAAAATGTCTTTTTTATAAGTAGAAGGTTGAATGAAAATTTATTATTATATTTTAAGGAATAAAAACTTAATTTAACGTAGGTTTAATTTGTGTACCATGTTGTAACCAAAAGAAAAATTGTGTACCATGTAATTAGTGTTTAGCCTGTTCTTATGCTATCCACAATTTGTTAGCCGGTTATATTTAAGAGAATGATGAACAAATCAACATATTTTTAGTTGTTAGATGTTGAAATACACACATTAAAAGTTTTTTTTTATCAAAATACACAAATTCAAACCTGTTTATCAAATAAGTCAAAAATTATGTTTGCTATTCAATTTAATTTTCTGTGTAGAAAAAGGAGACACAAATTTATTAATTAGTGTGTTCCCTTTATGCCAGGTGCATGGTATGCGCTGCCACCATGTGCATGCGTTCTAGACCGGTTGTTTGTCTCAAATTCGTTGGTTCTTCCTAATAATAAAAGTGGGTAATGAATTATTTATATTTGTAACCTTACGAGAATTAAAAGGCTGTTAAAGTTGATTATTGGATCGGCAGTGGCCCATTCATTCATATGACCCTATCCAAAACAAACCAACTATTATATAAACCATTCATTTGTCGGCCTCCATTCAAAGTTTAATCACTTCTTTGCCATCTATGAATTCACTCCTTATTGTATGGAATACCTCTTTCTCTTTGACTTAGCATATGCTTATAGCCTACGTTGTGGACATCCTGACATATTTGACCTTCATCTTCTATCTTGCATGATAGTTGTAAAAAACTAGAAGCAAATGAACCACGAGAGAAATACAAAGCAACATACTTTTCATTAATTATTGTGATTTGTGAGGCAAGTATAAGAAAGAATTTTCGACAAATTGAGATGGTTGATTGCAGTGATCTCTCTTAACACTTATGATATTTGCATGAATTTCAATGTTAAAACCAGCAATTGATATAAAAGAAAAAGTGTAAATGAATGAAAAATTATGTGTCAAGTACTTTTTATTGTATGATAGATTCAAATATCAAAATGAGATATGTTTGATTCTTGATGTGGATGTGATGATCTTATTAATAATAATTTGTAAGTACTTATAAAAGTGTAACAATCTTGGTCAAATGGCGACCGAGCTCGAACTAACTTGGCTTGCCAACTTAGCCTACCAACTTGGTCTGTCCAAGCTTAAATCATAACATTAAGTGGTTAATTTAACGGTAATAATGATGGTTATACAGAGAAGAAAAATAGACAATAGCAGGTAAAAATATATATATTTTATTGAATAATCTCAGATAACTAACTTGATCGTCGGAGTCCTTTTTGCAGGTACATCCGAGACGCTTGGAAAAGGGCAACCAATCTCGGCAACCAATCTCGAAGACCAATCTCTTATGATCTCTTGTGAGACCAAGATAGAAAAGATGATCAATTTGACTTGAAGGACTGACTTGATTCTGGTAAGAACATCTTGGCGCTAGAAGGAGGGCTTATGTACCAACCTTGGTCAAATGGCAACCGAGCTCGAACCAACTTGGCCTGCCAACTTAGCTTACCAACTTGGCCTGCCCAAGGTTAAATCACAACATCAAGTGGTTAATTTAACGGTAATAATGACGGTTATACAGATAAGAAAAATAGACAATAGCAGGTAAAAATATATACATTTCATTGGATAATCTCAGATAACTAACTTGATCGTCGGAGTCCTTTTTACAGGTACATCCGAGACACTTGGAGAAGGGTAACCAATCTCGGCGACCAATCTCGAAGACCAATCTCTCATGATCTCTTGTGAGACCAAGATTGAAAAGATGATCAATCTGACTTGAAGGACCGATCTGATTCTAGTAAGAACAATAAGTGTTCATGAAATCTTGAGTTAAGGTTTATTTGATCCATTATGAGTTTTTAGGATCTAATTTACCTAAACTTTAATATATAAAATAATGGATTTCTTATATAAAAAGTTATAGATGGAAAATTTGTTAAGGTTTGTTGTATGAAATTCCAAATGAATTTGAATGTATAAAATTTGTGGAACTTGATCTAAACTTTTACTTCAATGTAGTCGAGTTAGGGCACAAACTAAAGGTAATTATAAACGTTATAAATTGAATATTTAAATTTATGCAAGGGAACAAGCATTTGAAAGTGATTTTTTGGATTAATGTTACTTTGCATGAACAACATTAGACCATAAGTTAAAAACTAAAGTAACATTTAAAACAGTTATATCGCCGATATGTAATGTCATCTTAAGAGTTTAAAAGACAATAAAATCTGTAAAATAAACATGATCTTTTAAATAATTTTTTTTATATTTGTAATTTATTTAAAAAATGTAGATAACACATTTTTTTTTGTTCGTTCCTGGAGTATCCACCGCCGATAGCGGTGACTAATCTCCTCGCTACGTTGGAGGCACCTCAAAGGGTGGGATAGCTGGCCCCAAGATTTAACGCGGCTGCATACACAAGACAGGATTCGAACCCCTGACCTTGCTTAAGCGTGGATCAACCCCTACGGCTGAATCACACGCTTGGGGTTAGATAACACATTATTTAACAACTTTCTTTTATGATTTTATATTTTTTTAATAAGTTTTAACTAAAAATGATAAAGAAAAAAAAAAGTGTGACTAATATTCCATTCAACGGGTAAATACTATTAGATTGAAGCCGACACACATTAACATCATTTGTGCAAACAATAAAACATGTTGTCCAACCACACACTAACTCACGTAAACTTTGGATGCTTGACCAACAGGCGACAACCCAATGCAGCCTAACCACATTGACAACAAAGCTTTACTGGAATACTAGTGACCAAAAAAGCATCCCACATAAACAAGTAATTAATAACGGTTAGATTAAGAGTAAAACTTCTATCTCTTGGAACTTAAGTTTATTGATAATAAACTTAGACTTTTTTTTTTAGAAAAATGATTTTTAGATCATACTATAAAATGAATTAGAATAAATGATTGATTATATTGATATTAAGTCTTTCAGATAAATTATTTCATTTGTAAGGCAAAAATATTTAATATATATTTGATAATCAAAACATATTTGTCTATGATATTTTTTAACAAATCGAAAGGAAAAAAAACCTTTGACACGAATATTTCTTTTGAACAAAAACATGTTTTGTGCAAGAGAAATGCCAAACATGTCTCATAAAATATGTGAAATCTTATAAAAACTCATTTATGAGTTATGACTAACACACGTAATAGTTCTTTCTATGTGATACTTTAAAGGTGATAAGTAACTTCTTTCACTAGATAAAAAATAATAATTTAGTGAAACATTTTTAACGTCCATATTTAATGCACTAATGTTATATTGAACTGCTAATATTATAATTCTTAAAATGCTTTCAAAATTGTGTTAAACATGACTTTATTGACATTGTAATTTTATTTATACTTATATGGATTTGATTTTATTTGAACTTGTATGAATTTGATTTTATTTAGACTTTGTTTGAACTTATAATAATAATGTATTATAATTTATTATATTTTATTTTGATTTATGTGTAATCAAAATATTTTATTTTAATAATTAATATTTGAACTTTAAACTTGTTGAACTTTTAAAATTTAATTTCTAAATTCATTAATTGTTATTAGTACAATTGTGAAAAATATTTGAATTTTAATTTTATAATATTCAAATATTTTTATGTAGATTTTATTTGAATTTTAGTTATAACCTTAAAAAAAATTACGAAAACTTAATTTTGTAGATTTTTATAAATTTTAAGAGAGAAAAAATGTTACAAATAACTAAAATATTTTGTTGAATATTTTTAAGATATATTTGTTTAATAAAAATTCACAAATACCCATAAATATTTACAGTAAAAACATATAGATACCCAATTAACAAATACATGCATATATATATATATATATATATATATATATATATTATATGATTATTTTAAGTGGTGGAAAAAGTTCGATTTGAATTTAATTAGTAAATCAAGAATTAAAGAATGGGCCCAAGGCAATTCTCCAACAATATTACATCAAGAAAACAAGAGAAGAATTACTAAAGATTCTCAATTCTTGGCTGAGAAAAGCAAGATCATGGTCGAGCTAGCCTCTGCCTATTCCCAAAAAGAGTTTGAAGCAAGACTACAATTAATTAGAGCAGAACAAGATGACACTCAGCCCGAAGAAACGAGTTCTTCTGATTCAATATCAACTAGTCCTTATCTTCGCAATGAAGATATGTTTGACTGAACCTCAAGATTCAATTATACAGAAAGACAATTGACAACTCTGTCAAGACAGCAAGATAAAGTTATTTGTCAACATCACAAAACGACACAAGACAACTTATCAACAGTTCATCAAGATAAAGACATGTTACCAATTCCACAAGAAGACAAGAAACTTTTTAAGATTCTTTATGTAAATTATTGTACTTTTTCTCTTTCCTTTCTTACCCTTGTATAATTAGGTGAGTCACTACCCTCACTTGTAATTTAGTCCGTCCTAGTTAGTCTATATAAGGAGAAGTTATCCTCAGTTGTAATCATCGAAGTTTCAGAACAAGCTAGGGGTGTGCAAAAAATCCAAATTGATCCGAACCGATCCATAACCGATCCGATCCATATTGAAAAATCCGATCCATTTTGAAAAAAATCCGAACCGAACCACTTTATAAAACCGGTTCATTTATCCGATCCATTTTTACAAAGTGGATTGGTTCGGTTCGGTTTGGTTTTCTAAAAAACCGATCCATATATGAGTAAAAAAGTGGATAACTGCACCGCACCGAACCGATCCAATTTCAAAAAAACGGATCCATATTTTAAAAAAACCAAACCGATCCACTTTATAAAAAATGGATCGGTTAACCGATCCACTTTTATAAAACGGTTCGGTTCGGTTTGGATCGGTTTTTTGAAAAAACCGATCCATGAACACCCCTAGAACAAGCTATCAATCTCTTAATAAACTTGTACTTTCAAAAACATCTGCTATCTTTCAGAAATCTTTGTAAGTATTTCAATATGATCATCTTACTTGAACATGGTCATTTTCATATTACTTCTCATATTTTTCCATATCCTCATTTTTCTATTACTCTGTATGTATATAATCAATATAGTTTTACCTGCACGTTTCCGATATTGGTATATATATAACTGATACAAAACAATTGATAGAAATGATAGCGAACAACTATTTCTCGTATCGGTTCCATTTCGTTGACTTCTCTTCTCATATGATATTTTAAGTTAGTCTTTTAAGAGTTGTCATTTTATCTTATTAATTTGTTGACATGATCTCAAATGCTTATTACTCTGGTTGCCTATTATATTTCTCCAATTTCTCATATAGACAGGAAGGAAATTTCGTGTTTGTCATTTGAGTTGGAAATCAAAATTACAAGTTCTACGGCCATTTTATCTTTAAAGCAACATTCGTAGAATGTCAGGTTACCCTGCATAAGATAAATAAAGGAAAAAAATAATAATAACCTAACTATATTTTGTTGAACTTATGTTTACAAATAGACCCGATCAATACGATATTATTAGTCAAGATCAAAGAAAAGAATACGAAAAGTGCAATAGAATTATATAGAGTTGTGTTACATGATAAATAGATAGATATGCAATAATTCCTCCATCCACAAGACACAAGTACCAAAATTTAAGGACAATAACCAGGTTTAATTTAGATATGGTGTGTCCCAAACGAGACCATATAGCTTAACTAACTTTTTGCCAAAAATATCTCCTGATTCATTGGAAAGGTAAGGATCCACGTTCTACAAGAATTACAAGACATTGATAGGTATAAAATATTTGCTAGAGATGCAAATGTGAAATTTTCTCTGATCCAAATAAGACAAAACGAAAACATGGATTCTGGCATGTCCTGGGCCGATCAATGGGACAACAACCCAGACCCTGAACCGGCATCAGAGAAAGACAAGAAGAAGGGCAAAGATGGGTCGAGCAAGAGCAAATTTGGGAAGACTGTGCTGAGCTTCAAATGGGTGAAAGAACTTCGCAAGAAAAACAACAAGTGATGACAACATTGTCATGGTATATATTTACTATTTAAGAAGCTTCCTGGCTCTTCGAAATTAAGAACGTATAATAATGTAATCGACCCTGTCCTTGTGTGAAACTACCATGTTAAATTAAATAAATTTTTTCTTTACTTTATTTTATTTGTGGCCTAAATGTGTTAAAATCGGATCCTATACGTCTTTTAATTTATACAATTTGTTCGTACAAATGTTACACCAAGATATTCCAGATTATTATTTCAAAAAAGAAAAAAAATTAAATACACCGTAGGGTAATAATTGCTTGTTTTACACCATAAAAAAATGCATGTTTTTGTAAGACGAGAAGAATAAGAACAATTTTGATTTATATAACAACCCAACAATTTTAGTACTTTAGTAAACTGTTGAAGGTAGATAGATAAAAGAAATGTACGTGAAAAGTTGGTATTGCCATTATTTCATATTCTTCTTCGTCTAACAAAAGAGTTAATCGTCAAACCCCTCGTTGGGTTGCTGCTATGACATATACTCTCATGGTTTAACACCCATATTAAAATTAAAATTACAATTAACTTCCTCAAGCAGCATTTAATATATTGTTTCCTTTTATCTATCATCAATATGATGACAAAAATACTAAATTGGTAATTTAAATGAATATTATGGATAATAAATATGGATATGGTAATATCTATATCTATGGGTATCTATTAGATAATATTACTTAAATATTCATACTTTTATCTTACATTTTTTTATATAATTTGTAATTAAAAAATTATCATTAATTAAAAGTTAAAAAATTCATATTAATTATTTATCTTTAATATTTCAATATACTTAACATCAAATATAAGTTTTAAAATTATTTATATTTTTAAAAATTTTAAAATAATTCACAAATATCCATAAATACTCACATATATTTATAAATTTTAGGAATATTCGCTTAATGAATACCTACACGGATACGAGACAAATGATAAACAAATTCTCATCTAACGAGACGAGTATGGATATCCTACTACCTGTCTCATAGGCCCCATTGCCATCCTTAACATCAAATACTATTAGTTACTTCTTCCCTTTTTTAACTATTGATTTTTAAGAACAAAATTATTTTTATTTACTTATTATTTTTAAAGTTTAAGACAACATTCGTTACTATTTTATCAATTATACCCTTATATTTCACTTAATTTTAACTTGTTTTACTTTAAAAGCTAATATACACTTATTATAGAATAAATTTTAAAAATATATAATAAAAAGCACTAAAATAATTTTATAATTTTTTATTATATTTTTTTATTTGCATATAATAGTCTTAAAAGACTATTAAAAAGTAATAAAAATAAAATAAAAATATTATAAATTTGAAGGCTTAGAAAAATATATTGGATGAGATTTTATAAAACTTTTTAGCATAAAAAAGTCTTATAAATTTTAAAAAAATTTGCAGGAATTTAATAACTTTTAAAGTTCATTCAAAATACGTTATTATAGACATGTTATAAGATTTGAAAGAATTTTATTAAATTTTTGACGACAATATAGGTTTTCAAAAAATAATACAATCAATATAAAATAACATAATTGACAAAGGTTTGAATAAAAAAATCAATAAAATTTTCAATCTTTTAATAAATAATTGATTTTGATTTGATATCCTTTTAAGTAATATTTATTTACATACAACCCTTTATATATTTATATTTTTCCATTCATACTAATGAATTTGAATAATATGTTCAAATTTATGATATTTATTAATCAGAATAATTATCTAAATATATTTTTAATATATAGTTAAAATATGATATTTTAATTCAAATTTTATTGAAAATAAACAATTATTAAATAAATAAAAAATACAATATTTAATAATTTTAAAATATTTTTAATTATTTAATAATTTAAAAAATATTAATAAATTACACATCAATATTGATAGATAAAAAAAGTATAGGATAAAAAATAGGAAAGAGAGGAAAAAAAATGAAAGATGAAAAATAGAAAAATTTAATATGAGATAGAGAATACATAAAAAGAGAGCAAAAAAGATAGAGAAAAAAGAAGATAAGATAGGATGAGAGAGAGAAAAAAAAGAAAGAGAAGATGAGAGAGAGGAAAAAGAGAGAGGAAAAAAATATGAAAGTAAAAAATAATAAAAAAATATTATATAAAATCTCAATAATTTTGATGAAATTATTAAATAAGAAAATTATATCAATTGTCTTACTTTCATAAATTAAAGTGTCAACACAACACAAAAAAACGTAAAAAACACAAAAAAAAAACTAAAGTCTCAACCATATGCATTTTGAGGGATCTAAACTATATTTTATCTTAAAATTAAAATCAGAGGTATTTATTTGTATAAGGGGATAAAATTTAAGAATGTTATTTTTTTCTCTTCCTATTATCATTATTTTACTAAATATTTTACTATTATGAACTATTAGGACCCGCTTAACAACGAGAGTTGAGATAATACAATATGCACATATTTTAGAATTGTCCCTACTATAATTTTTATGAATAAAAATATATTTTATTATTCTACTATAGAGGATTTTGTACTTTCAGCCAAGTACATGTTTGCATTAAAATTTAAGTTTAAATAAATTTTATTTTGCAAACTGAATTTTATAGAAACAAGTGCGATATTACTTTCAACTAAAACTTGATTTCGTGCCAATTATAAATGTGTTGACATATTTTTGAAAAAACTAAACATAACCTAACTGGCCAAAACAAGGGCTCCTCCCCAAACTTCACTCTCCTCTATATGTCAATCAAAGTCAAAGCGTATTTGATTATACTTTTGATTCTTTAATTATCATTATTTATGAACTTACTTTTTTTCCCCCTAAATTTTGATCCTTAATTTCTAATTTATTATTTTAATCAGGTAATTCTTATTTATTTATTATTTTGAGGTTTAATATTTAATAAACATAGCATGACTGTGTAATAGAGTATCATACCACGATGAAGATGTAAAGTTAAAAAAAAAAAAACCAAAATTGCCTAAAAAAAGAATAAAAAAATTGCGAAACGGAAAAATAAATAAATTAATTCGCGTAATAAAAGAAGATAGGTAGCCGAAACTGGAATTAAGTCTTTTTCATATTTCGTGAATTCCGAAATTCACGTCAAATTTCAATTGCGTCATTTATTTTCCGCCCAAAACAAAACTCCCCTTCGCGCTCGTCAGGGGAGAAAGAAAAAAGACAAAAAGAGCAGAGAAAATGACGGAAAGCGAAGAAGGGAAGTGTGAGAAAATGGGCAAAGTGAAGAAACGTGGAAGCGTGCTCGTCTTCACCGGAGCCGCTGCGGTAGTTGCGATTACGGCGAACCTAGCCATCACCGCTTTCAAGTACCGGAAGGAAAAAAATGCAAAGAAGAAAGGTACTCCTTCTTCTCAAGTCTTAACTCTTCAATTTTCATCGACCTGAAATGCGTGCTTAGTGAATAACGTGTTAGAATTTAAGATCGTTTCACTGAAGCCACTATGCGAAACTTGTAGATCTTGCAGGTTCTAAGGTGCGCGTTAACCTATCTGCATCTGAGATTCTTAAGTTAGCAGACCAAATCATTGCCAACTCAAACAAGGTTCATAACTCTATTGCGTCGGTGCCTCTCGACAAGGTACTATCGATTCGCATCTACACGCTGCACTGAAAATACTGATCTCACTGTTTTTGTTTATTTACTGAACTATTATTACTTGAAAACATCCAAAAATTTGTTAAGAAATGTCGCCATTTGTTATTTCGTCTTTGAAATATTGAAGCATTTTGATAGTTGTCTAACATCGCAACAATTGGATCAAGGTGAAACTGCGTCGTTTTTTTTAAATCATGTTTTTACGTGTTATTGCTGTTTCACTGTTTGTATTTACTGTGGCTTGTGCTTGATTATTTGTTACGTGTCTTCCTCCTTTTTTTCTTGGGTAGTGTTTGCTTAAGATGATTGTCTTGTGTTGACAATAACTGCAGGTTACATATGCAAATGTTATATCGCCTCTGGCTGAATTGCAAGCGCAGCAATTCCCACTGATCCAGTCATGTGTGTTTCCGAAGCTGGTATCTACTCGGGAGGATGTACGCAAAGCAAGCGCGGAAGCAGAGCAAAGAATAGATGCTCATCTTGATGCGTGCAGGTTCGCTAAGGCTGATTTATAATTTTTTTTATACTATTTATGGTTTCTTAGAAATGCTGGCCATGTGCTTTTGATCAGGCAGAAATGCCCTACCAACTTGGAAAATATAGGATGGATTTGAAATGAAGTCTTGCTTACTCTCACCGGTTTCAAAATTTTCTTTAATCAAATAATGAGGACAGTGAGGATAAGCTCACACTACTGTTAAACCGTATGCATGGCCTGGTATTATGGATTTGTTTGCAATACCTGCCAAAAATAGTTTCATGGATATTGTTAATTTGTCTTTCCAGACCACTAACCACTTGCATCTTCATTTCATCAATTATGTGACTGAATAATGTGTTGTTCCATGCAAGTGGATCAGCAAACGTGAAGATGTATATCTTGTAATTAAAGCATTTGCAGTTAGGGGGGAGTGGATGAATGCTGAAGCCAAACACTTTGTTCAAATTCTGGTAAGAACCAAGGAATTATCCTGATTGTAGTCTTGCTTTAATTTGTTTTTTGGGTGAGAGATTTGTCTGGAAAAGTAATGGCATATTGGCATCAATAAAGTGATTGCAGGGTTGCACTATGTTCTAATATACTTTTCCATGAAAAGTATGAAATCCAGATTTGATTCTTTCCTAATCAGTGACAGGTGCGAGACTTTGAGCGAAATGGATTGAACCTCACTGCAAGCAAAAGAGAAGAGTTGCAGCGTATAAGGGCTCAGATTGATGAATTAAGCTTTAAATATATCCAAAATCTCAATGATGATAGCAAGTTTCTTCTCTTCAATGAGGCAGAGCTAGCTGGATTACCTCCAGATTTTCTCAAGGTTTAGTATGATTATTCTTCTCTTCAATTAAAAAAAAAGGAGTTAGAGGTTGATAATTTGTCTATAGATATGATTTACCACAGAAGATTGTGTTGTTGCTTGATCCATGTAGCCAATCTCACCTAGTGGGAAAAGACTTGGTTGTTGCTGTATTCTTCCTTCCATCAATCCACTTAACTAG